CCAATCTCTATTATGTCTTCTAGAATGCTAGATACATGTATATATTATTCCTGTCTATTTAGAAAGCATTTAATGAAGGAAAAAGTTGGGGACAGATCTGGAACTTCACAGATATGATATGAACATTTGCTTGCTTGACAAGCCCAGTGGAAGAAGGTTGAGTGCATAGAGAAAGCATGACCAGCCAACTTTAAGACCTATGCCTTCTCTAGGGAGGCAGTTCTGTCTGGACAACTAAATCTAACAATTCTGAAGAACTTGATGGAACCAAGGAAGCCTTAGGAATTATTTGCTAGCTAGTACTAAGACGAGTTCCCGAGAATGGAGAACACACTACGGTATGGCTAATAAGCTGTGAAAAAAATGTAGTTGTGGAATCTGTTGACCTGTGACCTCTAAGTAATGAGTTACCAAGAGTTGGGAAACAAGACAATGCACAGATGTGTTACTGTTTTGACATGCATTTGTTGCACTGAATTCTATTATTCAAGTGCAAAAAATGTCCAGTTTAAGGGTCACACATGATCTACTGCCAGGTTTTTGTGGCCATGTAAAGCCAGAAAGGATTGAATGGAACCCCACATTTGGAAGTGAGATGCATTTTTTTTTTTAAGTTTGGGGTATGTTTTGCATGCCTTAAGTTTTACAGTGGCTCAATAGCACTTGTTACACCTGGAAAGGGAACTTAAGGAGTCTTTCACTTCTGAGTGTTCCTCTTAGAAAGCATCCAGGTGTCATTCTGTTTTTGAGCACAGGCCTTGCTAAGCATGGTCTGGCTGTTTCTGCTTCAAAATAGGGCAGAGCAAGTGGTCCCTGCCAGCTGCATGCACAAAAATCAAAGCCCTTAAAAAGATTCTATTGTGCAGGACCTGTATTTCAGGAGATCACAACAGGTTCTCCTAAGGAATTAATGGAATGTAGATGATATTACGAATTCTGAATTACGAAAGCCCGTAGCATTAATCCACTTTTAAGTTATTGCTCTAGGGTTGCAGCAACATATGGACTTATTATTGCAAAAGATTTAACCATTGGGAAGCCCTCAGTTTTTTCCATAGAGTTTGCCTCTCATGGCCATCCAAACCAGATGAACTGAACTCTAATGTTGTTTTCAGAGTCTTGACAATCTAGTGAAATCTTTCTTGGCTTCAGACTCTCCGTTAAGCATCTGATGCGCGTGGTCAAAAACGACAATAGCAACACACATCCATCTGCTGGCCAAGAAAACATGTGGCTACATCCATGAACTTGACTCACAGGAATATTACTTGAACAGACATGGCTTGATTAAGGCAACAATAAAGAAGTTATCATTAAAAAACAAAATTTAATAGGAGGACATGTTAGTGGAAGCTCTCTGGAAATAATTATATATGTGTATGTGTTGTGAGAAAGATAGCAGGGGAGATATGTTATTAAAGATGTCATTATTAAAAATTACTTCTTTTATTTATCCTGAAACAGGCCAAGCAAAAGTTCCTAGTATGGTAACAGGGATTGCAAAGAAGCCTAAATAATTTGTTTTCAGGCTAAAAAAGAAATCTCCTGGAAGAGAACATGACAAAGACTTCTAAAATTATGAATACTGGGGAGAAAATAAGACACCCTCATAAAAATGCTTGGTGTGACATTGAAGACCAGGAAAAAGAATTTGCCACCAAGGGCATAATTAGAATAGATTACACTGTAGAGGATGAGTTGATGGCCATTAACTGGTTTGGCTTGAAGAGGACCTCGTAAAATACAGGCTTAATTCACTGGTTTCAACCAGGCACAGTAGTTACTGCATGAATCTCCCAGAAAGGACAAAAACAAGATTGGGAGGTACCTGATTGAATTCGCTAGTCCAATGAATGAAAATTCAATTGACTAGAATGATCATATCTGTTTGGTTCTTAAATTAAAGCCCACCTAGAAAATCTCAGGACACAAGAGTTGGCTGATATTCAAGGAACAATACTTCATCCCAAAATAAAGCCAAAGTGATGCCACCACCATTTTGTCTCCAAGGAAACCACATAGATTAAGGAGGTCACCCAGGAATCAAGTTCAGGACTTCACTGCTATAGATCTACAGCTCGGCTTTTGGTCACATCATTTCATTCGTTGTAGCCTAGGCCGTGGATCATCTTAATTTATATTTCTATCAAGCCTTTGACACTTTTTCTTCTAGCTCTTCGAAATGATGGAAGCGCCGGTGGAAAGTTTCTGACATTTTGACTAATTTAAAGGCCAGGTGCAACGGACTTGCCTTCTCCTTAGCTGTCTCTCATCCAATTTTATTACAAGGTGACCCCTGCATTCAGTTCACTCCGAGAATCCACTTTCATGAATGAGTTTGGGCTTTCCTCTCTGCTTATTTATTTAGCAGTTTAATATGCCACCCAGTCCTAATCTCTTAAAATGGAAGATAATCAGACAGTATAGTGATATGCTTTTCATCCAAGTTACAGGCTCTAAAAGGCATGAAAGAAATGAGATGGCAACAGCACTTAAGACTTATATACCGCTTCACAGTGCTTTACAGCCCTCTCTAAGCAGTTTACAGAGTCAGCCTGTTGCCCCCCCAACAATCCGGGTCCTCATTTTACCGACCTCAGAAGGACAGAAGGCCGAGTCAACCTTGAGCTGGTTAGGATCAAACTCCTGGCTGTGGATAGCGTTAGCCTGCAATAGCAATAGCACTCAGACTTATATACCGCTCCATAGTTCTTTTACAGCCCTCTCTAAGCAGTTTACAGCCTGTTGCCCCCAACAATCTGGGTCCTCATTTTACTGACCTCGGAAGGACGGAAGGCTGAGTCAACATTGAGCTGGTCAGGATTGAACTGTTGGCTGTGGGCAGTGAATTAGCCTGCAGTACTGCATTGCAACCACTGGGCCATCACGGCTGTGGCGAGCACCTCACACAAACTAGGAATAAATAAACTTGAAATGAGAAACTGATTACAGGTAGTCCTTGGCTTACAACGGTTCATTTAGTGACCATTCAAAGTTACAATGGCACTGAAAAAAGTTGCCTTATGACTGTTTTTCACACTTACAACCGTTGCAGCATCCCTACGGTCACGTGATCACAATTCAGACGGTTGGCAACTGACTCGTACTTATGACGGTCACAGTGTCCTGGGGTGTCATGTGATCTCCTTTTGCGACCTTCTGACAAGTAAAGTCAAGGGGGGGGAAGCCAGCTTCACTTAACAACCGTGTGACTAATTTAACAACTGGAGCAATTCCCTTAACAACTGTGGCGAGAAAAGTCGTAAAATGGGGGCCAAGCTCACTTAACAAACGTCTCACGTAGCAGCATAAATTTTGGGCTCCATTTGTGGTCGTACGTGGAGGTCTTCCTGACCATAATTAAGCCCAGCTTCCTCCCAACGAAAAAGGCAGAACTGATCACTGAAAGGAAATACATCTGTGTGGGGTCTGCAAAAACCCCTCACCAGTTCTATCAAATATAGATGCAATGAGTAAAATCTATTATGAAATGAAGGAATGAGGAACCCACACTTTTCCCCCCCTTGTTTCTCATGCAAAATTCCCAACTTACTTTGATAAACATTCATAAAATGTTAACTTTCCAAAGAGGAGGAACCCAAAGACCAAGAACACACCTTTACATGCGACTCCTCTCCGTCTTATCACATTATTAGTTTGTTAGCAACTTTACTGGACCTATATCTGACTTAATAAACAAGGCCTGGATGAGATGATAGTGGAGACAAATGCAGAAATAAATGATTTTGTGTGCAATTGATAGTATTAGTACCACTTTATAAAACCCCAGTGAGGCCACACCTGGAATACTGCAGCCAATTTTGGTCACCCTATCACAAAAAAGATGTTGAGATCTTGGAAAAAGTTCAGAAAAGAGCAACTAAGATGATCCAAGGCCTGGAGACTAAAACTACAAAGAACAGCTGCAGGAACTGTGAATAGCCAGTCTAGAGAAAAAAAGAAATAGGGGAGACATGATAGCCATATTCCAGTATTTGAGGGGCTACTACAAAGAGGAGGGGGTCACATTATTCTCCAAAGCACCAGAAGGCAGGACAAGAAACAATGGTTGGAAACTGATAAAAAAGAGAAGCAACCTGGAATTAAGGAGAAACTTCCTAACAGTGAAGACCAGTGGAACAAAAGTTGCCTTCAGAAATTGTGGGTACTTCATCACTGGAGGTTTTTAAGAAGAGACTGGACAGCCACTTGTCTGAAATGTGCTAGCCTAAGACATCTTCCTCCTTTGACTTTTGCAAAACAGCCAAGAAAGAATATTTATATTTATAGCTCAGGGTAAAAACAAGGAGTCCTTGGTGCTCTCTGAGCTTGGTTGTTTTCTTGCAGACGTTTCATTACCCAGCGAGGTAACATCCTCAGGGCAAGTCCTGATGACATTACCTACCTAATAAAACACCTGCAGGAAAACAACCGAACTCAGAAAGCATCCAGGACCCCTTAAACAGGGACAAATTGAGGATCATTTTGTTCGAAACAGAACTGTAAGTCTAAAAAAAACCTCCCACAAATTTGAAGCATAAATTTCCAGTCATGGCTGAAGAGATGTTTATGGAACTGGAGGAGAAATGCTATGGTGATTATGAAGGTTCAAGGTGAAGGCAACTCCGAATTGGCTCCACCTTGAATGGCTGTGTTCAGGGCCAGCCAATCTTTGCCTTAAGCAAAGCTGTGTTCACCCAACATTTTTTTTTATTTCTTCTCCACTCACAGAATTGGGAGGGAGATCTATCTTCCTATCCTAACCACATCAAGTCCTTCAGAATCATTAACAAATTTAGAAATAAATATAGTCAAGAGGCTGCTACTGTTATTCTAGCCTGCCCTCTTTTTGGATAGGTGTACTCACGTAACTGAATCAAAACTTTGTACATCTCTATTGTTGATTGGCGAGTGTCGCCATCACAACTCAAGTGCCACGTTTTAACTTTTGTGTTCAAAACGAGAGGGAGTGAAAGAGAGGGGGGGGCTTGGGTGTCATCATTGCTCGGATAGCGTTACACTTTTTGCTATTATAATTGCCCAGAGAAAGGTGGCTATATAAATTCAACAAATAACTCACCAATCTTTTTAATAAAAAGAACAACTCTGCCCTTTTTAAAGGTGCTTTTTTGACCGATTTTCTATATGCTTCGCTCCCAGAGCCAACATTCTAAAGATCGAATATATTATCGTATCAAAGCGTGTTATAGTTTTATAACTTTTAGTTCATGAACGAAAAAGGAGTGTAGAAACTGACACCATCCGTGTCCTTTTTCCACAACCGCCTCATGGATTGTGCCCTTTGAAAACACACCTAATGCAAAAAACAAAAAAGACCCCCTTGCCAGCTGCCCATATTTTTAGTGAGTAAGATTTCTCCAAAGTATGACCCACCTCCACATGGGTCTTGGGATATGGCTAAAGAAAACTGCACTTCATTGTTGATTTTCAGGGGGGGGGGAGAGAGGATGCAATAAGTGTGTCATGTGTGCTTTTGATCAAACCGTTCAGTTCTCCATGCATTGTATTCACCAGTCTCGTTTGTGTTTGTACGTTTGAATAAATCATTCTGCAAAACTTAACAACAGAGTAGGTCACAGTTGAAGGAGCCACTCTGGAATTCAGCCTATTAGGACAAAATAAGAATATATTTGTCTTGCAACTAGTAGACCAACATTAAAGCTGAAATAATTTTTGGTTAAGATACTGGATCATACAGTGCTGATTTGATTCACTGGCATTTACTCTAATGATAACAATATCACAGAATGCTTAATTTCAGGTTTACACTTTGCACAATTACAAAGCTGAGCTTGTGTAGTAGGTGTGACCTGGTGCCATCATTGACCCCGGTCTTACTGTAGCCATTTTCTTCAAGAATTGGTCTGTCTACATGGATCCAGGTCAGGAGTACATAATTTAAACTGGAGAGTTGCTGAATTATTTACAGCCTGAAATGCTGGAGTAACTATGTTTTGCAATACAGATATGAAACACCACAATTTTGTCTAATGGCTAGAGAGGTCGTCCACCATTTTGAGGAAGAAAAACTCTGAGTCTAAGCCTTTTCTAAACGCTTTGTGTTCCTGACATTAAACATAATCCTTATTCTTTATTACTATGCTTATGCTTCATTTGATGTCACTGTGACGGGCAGAGTTCCAAATATTTGGAAATTAAATAGTTGATTTCTAAGAAATTAGAAATTAAGTGGCTGCAGCTTAGCATAAGCAACGTCTGGATCGTAGTGTGTGCATCACAGTTAGAGCTTGATCAACATCTGCATGTGTTATGGCTGAGAAGCTGGAATCTGCCATTAAGAACACAGGACACCCCTGAGATCTTTGCCACAAATGTTGTCACTTTTCAGGCTGCATGGCCAACCTCAGCTTTTGGCTAGATTAACATAAATCACTCTGTAAAGCAGTGTTTCTCAACCTTGACAATTTTAAGGCATCTGGACTTCAACACCCAGAATTCCACAGTCAGCAATGCTGGCTGTGGAATTCTGGGAGTTGAAGTCCACATGCCTTAAAATTGTCAAGGTTGAGAAACACTGCTGTAAAGCCTCATTGTCCAACGATAAGCCTATCTTTTTTTAAAAAATATGAGATTAGGCTGCAAATACCTTTTGAAGCATGTGAAGAAATTTTCAATTGATGTGGTTAATCGCTCTTCATCTTGAGATCTTCTGATGATACTCACCAGAAAGCTACAGAAAGACATTTCTACAGGTTTTGGAAGAAATAAAGACCATTCAAACGTCTATGGAGATTCTCAATCATCCAGGTCATGGTTGTCCCAAAAGTGCTTTTCCAAAAGACAGCTGGACTTCCTTGGGGTTTTTTTCTTCTTTTCCCTTGAAAACATTTTGCTTCTCATCCAAGAAGTGTCTTCAGTGCTGAACTAACTCAACAGAGCTGAAGAAGCTTCTTGGATGGAGAAGCAAAATGTTTTCAAGGAAAAAAAACAACCAAGGAAATCCAAAAGTTGATTTTTGGAAAAGCACTTTGGGAAGACCATACAAATGTTGCATTGATATTTTTTTCCCTATAACTTGTTGGCCGAATGCGCCTGTTGTGCAATTATTTCATTGGAAGATTCCATTATGAAAATCCGTGAGCAATACAATGGTAAGAAAGCCATTCTCCACCTGGTGTCTTCCACTGTGGGGGAATTAGGATCCCATAACATCTGGAGGGCACAAGAGTGGGAGGCTTGTCTTTAAAGATTCATAATTCCAGAATAATATTCTTTCTATAAAAATAGGACATTTCTGTTTTTTCCCCCAAAATAAACAAACTTTAGTTTATTAAGAGCTGGTGTCAATGCTAAACAAAATACAAGTCTTCCAGAAAAGAAACATTCTAGTAATTCTTCTTTTTCTTCTTCTTTGATTTACTAAAATACAAGTGGACTTGTTTAAAATACATTATTTTTCTCTCTTAATTACATTTTTGCTTCAATTTGTGACCATCATTCTCCATATATGGAGTCCGGCCACAATCTTCAACTGTTCTTTTAAGGGAAAATACTTGAGAATGAATAAAGAAATATATTCCTCATATATCATCTTTCTAATAAATAAAAATAATTTAAAATGCTAGAGACTATACATGACTTTTTTTTATTATGTTCATATAAATGAAAAGTGTTTCCAAAATACATGGAAGCAAATATTAAAGGCAGACAAACAAAGATCTGTCTACTGGACTTTCACTTTTCCCACCAAAGGTTCAGCATGAAAGAGGAATAAATGTTATATCACCGTTCATGAAGTCCCGTCCCGTCAGGTGCCTTTTTTCTCTCTCTTTCTCTCTCTCTCTCTCTTTTTAAAACAAACAAACAAACAAACCACACACAGATTGTCCTGTCCTTCTAGGAGTCAACATTCGTCTTCGACTTCTCTGATTGGTGGAATCAAGCTGCTTGTAGACTTATAGTGATTGATGTGATTTGCTACGTGGGTGGTCATGGGCTTGATTTGAATGTTTCTGGGATAGGCGTTATCCGATTCATCTGTAAACCATTTCTTTTCTGCTAAAGAGTAGAAACATGGGGAGAGAGAGAGTGAGGGGGAGGGAGGGAGAGAGAGAGAGAGAAAGAGGGAGAGAGAAAGAGGGAGAGGGAGAGAGAGAGAGAGAGGGAGGGAGGGAGAGAGAGAGAGAGAGGGAGAGGGAGAGAGAGAGAGAGAGAGAGAGAGAAGCTTAAATTAGTGCCAGGCCAAAAGCAGTGGAGGAAAAGTGCATTTTAAGCTGTGTTGTGAGGTGTTTCAAAGCAACCGATAGGAAGCAACTTTGAGTAATGACTAGCAGGTGAAGGGCGATAGGTTTCATAAGCCTGAGAACATGGATTAGAGATGAAAAGATGAAAAGCTGGCTAGCTTGAAGGCAAAGAGTTAAAAAGAACTGGCGGGAGGTTGACTTAGTTATGGAAGGGGACCAAAACAGGAGCTTCTAACCTGGTTAGTGAACTGCCCACAGCTTGACTTTGTGGAGAACACTACCTGGTTGAGATGATCAGGACAGGAATGCATTTTGCCACACTAAAATTTCCCTGAAAAAATGAAACAAGGTCTTTGGGAATTCCAATATTGCTGAATATTGTTAATCTTGTTTTCTTATGCCCACTGGGGAGAATTCAGTGGTTTGAGATGCTTGAATGGCTGAAGTATATAATTGCTGATACTGACAATATTTGAAAATGGCCATTTGTGACCAGAGTTATCTCATGCTCTCACCAAAAAAAAACAAACAAACAAACAAAAAAAAACTACGCACAACATATGTGGAGTTTTGGGGAAATGGCCATAGAAGGCTAGGCCTCCTTGCAATTGATTATTACTTTGAAATTATGATTATTATTACTTTGCTATTTTCCATGTATACGGCACCCGGCGATAAATAAGTGGGTTTTGGGTTGCAGTTTGGGCACTCGGTCTCTAAAAGGTTCGCATCTCTGTTCTATTCTATTCTATTCTATTCTATTCTATTCTATTCTATTCTATAATCTACTCTACTCTACTCTGTTCCGTTCCATTCATCTATTCCATTCCATTCCCCATATACATATACATATGGGTGTGTTCTGTGTGCCTGTCTATCTGTCTGTCTCTCTTTCTCTCTCTCTCTGCATGTGTGTGTGTAGGAAATGCTTATCTACATGCCTTTTAATCAGAACATTAATTCTAACACCCAGGTTGGAACAGATTTTCTGGTTAACACATGGACAAGTGATAGGAGAACCATAAATAGGCTGGTTTCCCCCTGCCTGGAAGCAAAAAAAAAAAAAAACCTTACAAAAAAAAATCAGTCAAAAGAGATAGAATGGGTAGGAAAAAAACGGAGCCCATTTTCACTGACTCAAATAGCAGCCAATCCAGTGATTTATCTGCCTGACATTCAAAGAAATCTTTCCTGGTCTGGTGACATATTGACCGAATTTGTAACCAGAACTGGCTGAGAACTTCTGCAAAGTTTTCATCAAGCTATGCAAATGAGAAATGTAGATGACACATAGAGGTTTTCTCCCCTGTGCATTTCGTTACAAGTCAGTTTTATTTTGCTGGTGGACCTCTTTCTTTCTCTACGTTCCTTTCCATTGCAAATGCAGGCACTCCTTAAATTCCTCAGGTCTCTAATTAACTTTGCTCTGATGGGAACAGATTGGCCGATAGGAATTCATCATGTGAAAATCCTGCACTGCAAAGCTAACGGATTAAGCGCCCTAAATTATTCTTCCTGACAAAATGATAAAGTTACAATCTGTTCTAAGATGATCTACAGCTTTGCAGATTCCGACAGCGTCTTTCTACATTCATTTATCTTTTTTTTTTAAGTCAAGCAAGGGTTGTTTATTTATTTTATTTTTTTGCACATATACAGCCATATATCTTTTAAAGTCATCAGAACATTGGAATAGTTAATGAGGCTCGGGCAGGAAGCAACTGGAGCTTTCAGATGGAATCTGTTTCTGAAAGGTTGCAGGGGAAAAATATATATATACCCGTACTTTCCGGCGTATAAGACAACTTTTGCAAGCTGAGCTCTCCTTTGAAGACACTTTAGGTGTCTTGAGATGGGTTAAATCAGGCCTGCAAAACTTCAGAAGTAGCTCATGCTGCTACCTCAAAGCGGTGGAGAAGCCTTCAGACAGTTATCTTGCAGGGGTTTTCCTTTATCTCTTTCCTTTTTGGCAAGACAGCTGACCCAGCAATTAAGCATTGGGATGTTTTACTGGTGCACAAGAGACATGGGGCATACAAACTTCCATGCACGAGAGAGTATTGTGGGAAGAATTTATAAATGTGTATAACTGTGTTAGAAACATTGTATAGGGACTCATACATTGACCAACCCATGTTTCCAACAGAGCTACTAATGAATGAAACCAAGTTGCCAAAAAAAAAAAAAAAAAAGGTTGCCCAGAGCCTTCGGGAAAACCGTCAAGCGATAATAACAAAATCCTTTACACTCACTGCAAGCATAAGAATGAATTCAACACTTATGTCAAATTGTAAACACACAAAACTCAATTAATGTAAGCAGTGTAAACATAATTATAATGCTCACAGTTCAAACAAAGAGACTCAGTCCAGATCTTAATCAACTCCTTCTCCGGATCAATACGTAGGCATAACCGTAGCCCTCAAGTGTCACACACTAGAACCAGCACATTCTCACACCCACGTCCCTCTGACCCACATCAAGGACCAGACTCCCTTATAAAACAACTTCTCTGTACCCCATTTCCCCCCCAAGGGGAAATTTCTGTTTTGGGGAATAAATCAAATCTCCTTTCCTCACAGCTGTCTGGGTTTCATGTTGATGTGTTCTTGCACAACCTTGACTTGACTTGACTTAGAACCCCAAATTATTCTTCTACACCCAGAAAATTATACCAGAAGGTTTGGGGGGGTAGGGCAATCAGCACTTACAACTGGAATTAATCTGCCCTTCTATGCTAGAATTGTGTTTGCTGGATTGAGACCTAAGAGGCCCTGTTTAGACTTCTTTCTCATCAAGAATTTTGCTTCACAAAGGATAATTTTAGGTCCATCAGCCTTCCAAAATCATCAGATTAGCCGTGATCATCTCCATTTTGAGCACATTAGGGACTTCTTCCCCTTGGCACAATTTTTGGTTCTCAAACGCAAATGATAAGTGCTTTCATATGAATGCCCGCTTCCTTAGTCAGCAGAAACAGAAATAAAGCATCAGCAGAAATACAGGTCAAGGGGCTAAACTAGAAGAAGTCTAGCATAATTTCACATCAATTTCACCAACAGGAAAGGAAAGATGGCTGGTGGTGAACGTATGTGGGATAGGAGAGGGGAAACAGACAAGACAAGATGGAATCACGGGAACACAATTATATCCATTATGTAAACAGCTAGTACAAAGACACGTGCAGCTGGAAATGCAAGCGGATGAAAAATGTTTAGAAACAAAAGGAATTTTATATATATATATATATATATATATATATATATATATATATATATATATATATATATATATTATTCAGTTCTATATATATAGAACTGAATAACAGCAGCAGGTAAGCAAATTTACTCTACGTCTAGAAACAACGCAGAAAGAATAAAAGCAGCAACCAACTCAAGAACGGACAGGGAAACCCAATGAGACGTAAACCCAAAACAAATCAAAACGGAACCGAGGTTGGTAAGGTGGTCTTTAATGTGTCACAAGTTTTCACAAAGGACGAAGTTGGAGAAGGAAAAAAAAACCCACAGCAGTTGACTAGCTCATGCAGAACCAGCAGTGATCATACCTTGGCCCAGCCTATTCATCCTTGTGGCACTTTAGGAAGAGAAGTATAAGCTATGTAAGTTTTCAAAGGCTTTTAAACTGTCACATGTCCCATTGAGCACTTTAACTGGCACATCCTTGGCAGTCTATGAGAAAATGCCTAATGGCAAGTGAGTGTGGGGATAGGACGAGCAGCTCTTTTGCAAAAAAAAAAGGGAGGGGGCATTAATTTAACTTCCGTGATCAAAGATTGGCAGAACAGGGTTCAATATTGCTTTCCACTTGGGGCTGGAAGATGGATGTTTCCTTGGAGAGGAGGTAGAATAGGAACTTGACACGATTTCCAGCAATCGTATCTCCCAAATCATCCAAAGAAGGGGAGTGTTTGTGCCTCACTCTCATTGTTAATTAAAACGGAGGTGGTCAGTAAAAGTGCTTGTCAATTCACACAGCAAGCGTTTATAATCAACATGCTTTTGGGAGAAGCAGAGGAGGGGGGGGAGGAAATGCCTACCTAGCAACTTTTCCTACCCCCACTACAATTTTCTAAAACAGAGGTCCCCAACCTTTGGGGCACCAGGGACCGGTTCCATGGAGAGAGGTTTTTCCGCAGACCGGAGGGTGTGTGGTTTTGTGTGCTGCCTGCATCCCGCGGATGGGGCTTTGCTTGTTTGTGCAGACCGGTTGATGGCATGCCGTGGCCCGCTACCAGTCCACGGACAGTGGATTGGGGACCCCTGTTCTAAAACACAGAGCACATGCGAGGCAAAATACCATCTTTCTCTACAAAGAGGAAAAGAAGGGAGAGAAGGAATTGTACAATTGCAAGGGGTTAGCTTTCTGCACTGAAGGAAAAGTAAAACAATGTGGTGCAGAATTTCAGAAGCGCAGTGAGGATGGCTTAGGAATTTGACATCTTCTCCGCACGTTGAGTTCGGAGTCCGTTCCTACAAGTCACCAATAACCGACTGCCACGGATTGAGCTTGACCAGTGTCTTTCCAAACGGCGTTGCTAAGTTGCAATGAATAAAAATAGAGTACCGTAACAAGGAAATACGTTTGGGAACGGTGAAATATCAAGAGTTTATGGTGTCCTATGTTTTGAGAATGGGATTTTCTGAAATTGCTTTGCTGAGATTATCAGCATATTGCAAGGAAGACTAAAAATTAAGACTGCCTCAAAAAAAAAAAAAGTAACATACCCCCATGTGGCTTGTAAATATGCATGTTGCAACAGGGAAGAATTATGCAGAGGTGTCATTTGCATGGACACATGCCACCAATAACGCAGCCAGATTAACTGGCAAGTAAGGAGCAATCTACGCAGCATCACAAGCCCCCGGAAGTATGTGATCAGCTGAGTAGCAAGTGGGCTGGCAGAAAGAATGCCAGGGGCCCTATTAAGAAAAATATGCTATGATTCTGATAGAAGAGAAGATTTGTAAGGGTTGAATTGTGGGGTTCCTGCTGTTCTCTGAACTTGGTGGCTTTATTGAAGATGTTTCATGACCCAACTAGGTAACATCATCAATGATAGAATGGAATGGGATTTGTGGGAGGAGGAGGAGGGGGAGGAGGAGGGGGGGGAGGAGGAGGAGGAGGGAGGGGGGGAGGAGGAGGAGGAGGAGGAGAACTTTAGGGACCTTGGTGCTCTCTGAACTTGGTAGTTTTCTTGTAGATATTTCATGACCCAACTGAGTAACATCATCATGTCTGCACGAAAACAACTACACTACAATTACATATGGACCCCTATTGTTCTGGAAGTGAATCCTTGTTGAGTGATAGAGAGTAACAAATCTTCAGCATGAATCCAAATATGAAATATGGTCCTGTGTTTGGAAACACTCAATAAGGAGTGTTGAATTCAACCCTTAGTTTAAACACCCAATAAGGCAGTGACATTTGGCAAAATCTATTAGACCGGTTGCCAAAGTAAAGACATATAAGGCACCCTCTTTGATGGGTTATCTTTTAACATCAGCTGCTGCAGGTAATCTTCAACTTCCAGTCGCAATTCAGTCCAACATTTCTGTTGTTAAGGGCGACATTTTAGTTAAGGGGTTGTTTTCGCTCCAATTGCTTGCCACAATTGTTCAGCGAAACAGGTAGTAAAATGTTTGTGAAGGGGAACCTGACTTCCCCCATTGATTTTGCTCATCAGACGGTCATAAAAGGGGATCACGTGACCTTGGGACACAAGCAACCATCATAAGTATGAACCAGTTGCTAAACGTCTGAATCTTTTGATCCCATTTTCATGGGCATGCTACAAAGGTCCTAAGTTATGAGAAAGGGTCAAAAGTGCTGTTGTAACTTTGAACGGTCATTAAACAGTTGTAAGTCGTTGTCAAACAGTCGTGCCAAGTCCATTAGCTAAGACCTGATCCCATCTTTTCTTTGACGTGTGTGTGCCTTTCTTGAGGTATTCACAATGCTAAATTAAAACCTCCAAGCAAGGAGGGGAAAAAAAATTTCCCCGTGGAACGAGACTTAAAATAAGGAAAAACTTTCTGCTCCGTTTTGAATATTCTACATGTGCTTCTCTGCTACGTGAAGAAGCTTTTGCCTGTTTTTTTTTCTGTACACCACGTGACAAATTCACCTTTTATTAGAAGTCAAAGCCTCGGGAAGGGATATTCTAATAGGTTGCATTCAATATTGATGAATCGTGTGTGTCGCGCTTCATCCCAGGTGTCAAAAAAGTGAGAGAAAATACAGCTGTTCGCGTAGTAGGCTAGACAGAACTTAAGATGTGAGTGGAAACTCTTTTTTTTTTTTAAATCTAAAAAAAGGTTAAATCACTACAGCTGGAAAACGACATCCCTGATCATTTTTCGCAGAGTGCTATTCAAAGGGAAAGAAGGCACTGAGATAAAGCTAAGGTCGTTTCCGTGCAACAGCATGTGTGTAAGACTATGAAAAGAACAAAAACGACAACAACAGCATGCAAGGCACATGCTATCTGCAGTCCAAGAGACTGAATTTTCCTCATATTCCTGATAGGTTTCACTGGTGCTTGCAAAATTACCCCGCTGGGAGGACTGCAATGTCTCATGCGTGATTTTGAAGTCTTTCTCCCCGCTCCAACTTTTACCTCAGGTAAGTTTATGTCTGGAGTTGGCTTCCAAATGAAATAAAAATAAAAACCGGGGTTGTCTCGCTAGAGAAGCAAATTGTGCTTCTCCTCAAGAGCAGTCTGAGCAGGGAGTTGCCCACAGCATCAGAAACTAGCTTTGGTCTGTCTGCTCGGCTGCTGTTGTGCTCCAGGGTTTCGTGGTATCGAGATAAAAAGGACAGCCACATGCACACTCTGCCACGTGTGCCAAATACGTGTATAAAATGAGGGGGGGGGAAATCCATGGGGAAAGCAGAGGAAGAGAACAGGGAAAGCTCTCATTGGACACACCCATTAGGGAAGCATGAGTGGTGGATACAGCTTCACACACACAGTGAGACTAGATACACAAATCAAAGTCTGTTTTCTTGCACGTACTTCTGCTTTTCCCGGGAGTCTCTGCTCTTCGGGCGATTCTGTCTGTTTGCAGTAGCCGGCAGAGAATGGACTGAGGAGCTTTTTTTGCTGGACGCGTAAGAAGAGTGGGAAGAGTGGGAGAGGCTGGCCCGGGATTGGCCGGCGTTGTGATCGTACTGCATCAAGCAGAAGATCCAGTCGGTCGGCACCAGCTCGAATTCATAAGGTGGGTTGGCTATAACAAAACTGGAAAAGAAAGAAAACAACAACAACGCAAGGAGTAAGGGAGGGAAACTGATGAGAGAAGCAACCTGGAATTAAGGAAAAACTTCCAAACAGTGAGGACAATTCACCAGTGGAACAGCTTGCCACCAGATGTTGAGGGTACTCCAACACTGGAGGTTTTTAAGAAAAAGAATTCTGGGAAATCTAAACATCCAGGTTTGCAGGGCTTATAAAAAAAAGGTTTCTTTTTTTGGTTTGTTTTTTTTTAAGTAGTTGTCTATTTCTATTTATTTATGTGCAGAAGCAACAAGGTATCCAATGCTAACAGCTGTTTTCCAGGTTTAAAAAAAAAACAAAAACTGAATGAATGGTTGAAAACATTTAAAATAACCAGGATCGGCCAAAGACGTACCGTTTTGTACATTGGCTAGGCGTGCTTGAGTTGAAATCTCTCAATCGGTATATTCCAAAGCAGAGCATATTGTACGTTTTCAAAGCTTTACAAAATAGATCTCCATAACAACCACCGTCCTAGGCAAACAATAAGCAAACAAACAAATACATAAAAGAAATGTCATTTTTTTTTCCCACCACCACCCATGCCTCAGTTATTGCTATGACACTGAACACGAGGGAAATAATTTAGAGAAAGAAAATTGTAAGGAAATCTGTTGCAAGTCAGAGACAATTACTCAAGGAACTGTCTCATTTAAATGTTTAATCTTGAAACAGCTAATAAATATGTGCACAAGCACCCTAGCCACAATCAAAGAGCTGGAAATGGAAAAACGCCAATTGAGACTTATTTGAAATGAACTCCCAGGCTTGGGGTCTGCAGATCAGCTCTTCCACCAATTAAGAACAATGTAGTCCGGGATGATTAAGAACACGTGACATTTTATTTCTTGCTCTAGACTTGGAAATAAGTTCATTTGTTTGTGTTGTCAATTTTCATGAAGGTAATTTGGATTACAGCAAGGAGAAGATGTCATAGATAAGGACTGTCCCACCTTGCTCTGGGAAAAATGAGGAAGAGGAGGAGGAGGGGGGAGGGAGGGGGGAGGAAAAGAGACAAAGAAGAGAAGGAGGAGGAGGTGGGGGGAGA